AAAAAAAAAAAAAAAAACGTAGAAAAATAATAATCATACAAAGCTGTAGTTGGTACAAATGTCAGTTAAAAATGAACCCTTCCTCTTTTTTTTTGAACTTAAATAGTATAAAAAGGCTAAAGACAATTATGAGTTAATAACAAGTGCAGGTGCATGATTCACCTTCAGTAATGTAAGACTCAGTGCGGCAAGACTAAGATTTGCTCAGTGAAAGTTTATGCCCAAACACAGCGGCAAGAAAGAAAAGAGGGAAAACCTCTTGTTCAAACAAATTCCAAGGTCACGTCTAACGTACTAGCTTATAAGTCATTTTGGCCTATCAACACTTAATTTCAAAAGGTCAGACTGGCGTCGGAGTCGCAGTCGTAATCAGAAGCGTAGAGCTTATGATGTAGTGAAAACAGCGTTCTGATTCCGCTTACGACTCCGTAGCTTACGTTCCGCTAATGATCTAGTGAAAACCAGATTGTCGGAGTCAGAAGCAGAAGCAGAAGAACTAAACCGATCAAAAAGCGTGGGAACGTGCATTGTGATTTGTTTATCTCCCCGCTTCTGCTTTCGACTCCGACAATCTGGTTTTCACTCAACATAAGCGGAACATAAGCGACGGAATCGTAAGCGAAGTCAGAAGAAATGGAAACACTCTGATTCATCTGACTCCTATTCCGTCGCGCTTATAGCTCCGCTTGTGACTCCGATGTTTTTTTTTTTTTTTAGGTCATAAAGGCTGTGAAAATCAAAAATCGGAGTCATAAGTGCGACGGAATCGGAGTCAGAAGAATCAGAACGTTTCCATTTCTTCCAACTCCGCTTACGACTCCGTTGCTTACGTTCCGCTTATGATCTATTGTAAACCAGACTGACGGAGACGGAGGCAGAAGCGGAAGGATAAACCAATCACAATGCGCGTTTGGTTCTTCTGCCTCTGCTTCCGACTCCAACAATTTGGTTTTGATTAGGTCATAAGCGAAACGTAAGCGACTGAGTCATAAGCGGAATCGGAACGAGTTTTCACAAGATCATAAGCTCTACGCTTCTGATTACGACTCCCACTCCGACTCCGTCGCTAGTAAACTAAACCAGCTTTAAGCGCTCTTACGACTTATCGCTTACGACTCCGATTCCGACTCCATCGCTGGTGAAAACCAGCCTTTACTAAATCAAGCTTTTTCCAAACCCAGTTGGAAGCAATCAAAAAACACCTTCCTTCCTAAGCTATGAACGAAAAAGAATTATTTTGTTTTCCTTCGTTTCTGGAACATTTGGAAAAAAGAGCTTCTCGAACAGCATCGTCAAAAGAACATGACTGCGTGACGGCCATTTCAGATGAACATGCCAGAATCTCGCCAGGAAAACTCGTCATCAATTAACCAATTGGAATGCGACGTTCATGTAGGGAACGTGGGAGGAGCCAGAACAATGGACTGGTAACAGGCCCTTTATTTTTTTTCCTCTCCCCTCATCTCGCGATTCGCCTCGCTTAGCTCATAAAGCCCAGTTATGCAGGCTAGCTCTTTATATATTCATTTTAAATTATTTCTGCTTTCACAACCTTTCTCTCCTCTCCCTTCCCCTCTTTTTTAACTATATATGTACACAACACCAAACAGACCATCAGATCCCTTTTCTCAGCAGTCAAAATATTAAAGTTTTACATAATATTCCGACGTCAAAAACAATTAAAAATGCGTCATTTTTGCATCTGGTTACAGTGACATATCCCTGTCAATAAGCAAATTTAACTGTTAACCATGCAAACGCTAAATAGAGCATACACTAGTTATCTGTTTTCTTGACTGTCAAAATTACAAAAAAAAAAAAAAAGAAAAAGAAATAAAGAAAAAGGGCAATCGCAATAAGAAAAGAAAACTTCCAATGCCATATTAAATATACCCTCCTCTCTATTTAAAAAAAAAAACAAAAATAATATATTTATCGCAAAATCGACAGAACACCCGACTGATCTCCAGNTTTTTAACTATATATGTACACAACACCAAACAGACCATCAGATCCCTTTTCTCAGCAGTCAAAATATTAAAGTTTTACATAATATTCCGACGTCAAAAACAATTAAAAATGCGTCATTTTTGCATCTGGTTACAGTGACATATCCCTGTCAATAAGCAAATTTAACTGTTAACCATGCAAACGCTAAATAGAGCATACACTAGTTATCTGTTTTCTTGACTGTCAAAATTACAAAAAAAAAAAAAAAAGAAAAAGAAAGAAAGAAAATGGGCATTCGCTATTAGTAAAGAAAACTTGCATTGGCTTAGTAAATATACCGTCCTATATATGTTAAGCATGCTACCTCCGTTCTCTGTTTATCGCACTTTTCATGTTTTCCAATGTCAGCAAAGATCCTACTAGCGCCTCCTGTGCCATCTTTGATCTTTATTGGCGCACCGTACACCATAGCTCCCGCGGGAGGTAACTTATCCAGGTTGGCGACCATTTCGTATCCGGATATGTTGGCACTTAATAGGATTGTATGTGACTTGAAGATTTTCGACTGTCCATTGTCCAAAGATACTACGTCCACACCCACTGCAGAGACTTTTCCACTCTTTACAATCCATTCAGCTGCTTCAGGACTGAAACCTAGGATAAAAATAGAAAGTAAATTCATTGTATATGTGCAAATCTAAAAATGAACATTGTGCACTTGTTTTCACCAGTATGACTGTACTTACCACAGGGCATAGAGGAGTTATACGTAACCTTGATTGCCTATTGTAGTTACGCGCATCGCCTTTGTTTTTATCTGTAGAATCGAGCAAACCGTCATTCCATCGTCTTATGCTACCTGGTAAAATATTATGCAATGCTCTGGAAAACCGGTAATGACGGCGGAAAAATAACAGCAACTAACATAATAATATAATGAAGAGACAAGGGACGAAACTAATTTGGGCCAATTTTCAGCCCGCCACAATTCGTCAGTCTCTGGATAAATCAGTGCCATTTTCTTTAACAGATACGAAAACAACATTCTTTTTTCACTTTCACAGGAAATTTGAACATCGACTTCGCTAAAACTAATTTCCGAGGGGCACATGTTTTTTTGGCTTTGGATTTCCATTTCGTTCTTCAGTAATCCTTTCCAACTGCATGGGACTCACATCATTGAGGTTCAAGTGAAACATCGCTGAACCCCAAGAGGACTCCTTGTGGCCCCAATGTAATATAACATGAAAATAGGGACAGAGTACAAACGTTTGATGCTTTTCTATTTTAGCATTACCTGGGCTATGTAGATAACCGTAACCAGTCTTGTTTAATTTAGGATCATAGCCCAAAAACTTGTCTGGATTTGCCCAGTCCTTTCCCCGGCCTGAGTAAAGGAAGAGGATAGCACCATCCGGGATCTTGCCATGTTTTTCTTCCCAGGCTTCTAGATCACCTACGCTCAACTGATAGTCTTGGTCCTTGGCAGTCTGGACCGAGATGTCCACAACAACCGCTGGCCCTATGAGTTCATCCAACAGAACTTCGTTCAAATGTTTCCCTTTTTGGTAGAAATGTTTAGGGGCATCTATATGAGTTCCGCCGTGCTCTGACATCAGAATGTCGTAGTAGGAAAACCCAACTGGCGCCATTTTGTTCTGAACGGGAGTATGTTTAAGTCTGGTGTGCCCAGGAAAGTAGTTGGTCTTGCTGTCGTAACTGTACGACATGTCCACCCACTGAGTGGCACAGCAGCTGATCAACGTCAGACCGATCAGAACCACTAAGAAATTCATACCTGGAGATTATTGATCGGAGAATATGTTATCACTGGAAACAAATTACCACAACACAGATCACAATTACACAGTGTTCCTTGTGGAGCCCAAACTCACTATTTATACGAAGAAGACATATTCAGTGTTTCAGAATAAACTATTTTTTTCTCACCTATTCTAAAACGCAAAACTCCCATGGCGCTTTTCTGAATATTTATCTATTCTATAAATAGGAAATGTGGGCTTCACATGGAACACAAACACACGACATGACATATTATGACACAAATAACACATCTTGTAGTGGTACAGACCTCCCTTATATGTGATATAACACGTGCAGCAAGGGGTTTTAAGAGGTAATTTGGATGTGGAATGCAACTGCAGATAAACTTCCATAGATCTTGGCAATGTCGTTAAACTTTTTTTTTTTTTAATGTGTATGTAAAAATTTAAATCAAAATTTTCCGATACATTTGGAAAAATCTTATCAAAACACGTCTAGTATATTTTATGAAAAAAAAAAAAGGGAAAAAAAGAAATGGAAAATGAGAGAAGAAAACAAAAAACAGACAAAATGTGACGGGATGCTTGTCTTCATTGACTTTTGTAAAGCTTATGACACATAAAACTTGTATTTCATCTAGCCACCTCATATAAATTCAGTTTCTAATATAAAGAACATTCATATACACTTTCTTATTGAATAATGATCATATCAGAAATCTTTTATATACAGGCACGTGTGCATCCACTGAACGTACATCTGGGGAATTAGGGACGGTTGGTATGGATCCTACTAATCCTTCCTCCCTGACCGTTCTCCTGAGACAAAAGGGGGTAAAAATACCGTCGAATATATCGTGCCAGCGCTTACCGTTGGTTTGCTGTTGATTAGCGACAGATTACGCTTCTCGAGGGCAACACAAGGAATGCGAAATAATATGACAGTTCATTTCGAGATTTTTCTTACCTCTAGTATCTTTATATGTATATATATAAAAAAACAACGAATATGCAAAGCACAAACTTTAATTTATATATGGGGGCCGAACGTCAACTTTCGTGTTACAGACTGTTGGTACTGCTTTACAAAAGTCCTTTCTATACAAAAGCACTAGCTGCCTTTGGGCTTTCGTGAGATAATAATTCCCTTTTAATTATATTAGGTTAATCTGGGGTTGAACGGACTTTTGCAATGTTTTTATGGGACAAATGCGACTCAATGAATGTTTTGAAAGTTGTCAATTCTTGTTTTTTTCTTGTTTTTTTTGCTTTTAAGCAGCCGTATCTCCTATATTTTGACATGTAATGAAAAACATTTCGGTAAAACTAAAAATTTTGTTGCTACTGTAGTTGGCGTTGCGTCGGGGAGCACTGGACAGGACCGAAAATGATCTCCAAAATGGACCGCAAATGATACCGAAAGAAAAATATGAATGGCTTGGACTCAGTTAGCACATCATCGTGTCAATTTTATTATTATCACAAAAAGTCAGATTAAAAGCGAAATTTTACTTCTCAAATAAATACATGAATAAAAACTAAATGTTATTGCCGCTTATTTCATACTGAGAGGTCATGACACGCATATTGATTTTCTGCGGTCATTGTTTCTGGTCGGCATGATTTGCCCTTTGATGCAAGAGGATTTCCTTTGACCTTTTTTGAAATGCAATGCTCCTCATTGCGGCTAAATAAGGGTTTTAGGTTGTTTAATTTTCTTAAATTGCCTCCTGGGTCAGATCAATTATAAGCAATTTTCTTTTTGTCCGTGAATGTGACGGTTTCCTGCGATGTTTTGTCACGAGATAACTACCGCCTACCTCGCTTTTGCGTTTCTCATTGCCAGGTTTAAATTCCTGTTAACTGTCTCCAGCAAAGGAACAACAAATGAATATACATCTGTGTGGATTTCATATTTCATACAAGTTTTCTGATATAAAACCACAGGCAGACCCCCCTCTGTCAGTGGGGGCCGTCGTTGATTGAAATCTGAGCAACGATCTTTTGTTGTTTATAGAAGAAATACATATGAACAATACGGTGGCTATAATTTGTTCCAAAATGCAGAATTTAAAGCAAATCTTTCAATAAAAGTTTAAAGAAAATGGTAACTGAGTCATGTGTCATGTTTTTTTTCGCCGTCCCGTGCTGTTTTAAGCGCTATTTTGTGAGATGAATATTTGACCTTGGCGGTTAGAACTAAAGAAGGAGACAAGGCAGTCAGCAATCGGTCGTTTCGAAAACGAAGACCGAAGCACGAAGCACCCAAATCTCGAAAACAAAGCACCCAAATCTCGAAAACGAAGCACTCTAGATCGACAACGAAGCACCCAAAACTCGAAAACGAAGCACCCTAGATCGAAAACGAAGACCCCTAAATCTTAAAAACGAAGCACCCCAGATCGAAAACGAAGCACCCAAATCTCGAAAACGAAGACCCCAAAACTCGAAAACGAAGCACCTGAATCAGGTGGAGGCAGTGGATGCCTCCGCACCTCCAAAGGTCCACAAAATCCATCCCAAGGTTTTATAAGAGCCTGCCAACTGTTTAACTGAACTTTTCTAGATAGCATATACTGTATTAATTTTATTATTGATCTCGCTATACTTGATACATCTTACCTTAATATGCATTTTTTTGGTACACATACATGTTTATGTAGACTGTAGAAGTACGCGTGAGCAGTAACACAAAAGGTCTGAAACGAGGCTGAAACGGAGTGTGAGGTTCGGGCGTATTACTCTTACGCCACGCTTTGCCGACTTCTTTACTGATTTTGAGAAAAAAAAAAACGATTGTTTTGCAGTCTAACATATTGGATATGCAGGAGGTTACGCCCCCTCCCGATCGCAAAATTATCAAACTTCTAACATTTGTTCTCTTGTTTTTGCCTCTTCGATATTATCGTTAAGACTCGTAATGACGACGGCTACCACGTTTTCCCGCCAAAATGACGCTGGTTCGCGCGCCGGAGCACCACTTAGTGCTAAGAAAATCTCGTACTCGTCTTAGAATCTAAAGCTCTCTATCATCGACTCAAGCCTGCGGATTTAACTGGCTTTTACTGGCAATACAGTAACATTCTAGAAATAGTTTGGGCGCTCTCGGTTTTCTGATCAAGTCCAAAACATGGCCTCCCACCGGGCCTCCCACGCAGCGGCGGAAATGCATTTGCAACTTGACTAGATTTGAACTGCATTTGATTCGTTATCATCGCGCTTGATTCTTGCTGTATTAGCATTAGTCTCGTGTTTATAAAGGACAGACCGGTGTCGAGTTTTTGGGTGCTTCGTTTTCGAGTTCTGGGTGCTTCGTTTTCGAGATTTAGGGGTCTTCGTTTTCGAGTTTTGGGTGCTTCGTTTTCGATCTAGGGTGCTTCGTTTTCGAGTTTTTGGTGCTTCGTTTTCGAGATTTGGGTGCTTCGTGCTTCGGTCTTCGTTTTCGAGTGCTTCAGCCGCCGGCGCGTGACCCAGTCCAATTTAAGCTGGAACTGACGCCAAACTATTTAATTTCTTACCTCGAAAATACCGGCTCCCGATCCACTAGATAAAAATCAAAATTACATATTCTGAAAATTAATTCGACACTTCCAAAAAGATCAGTAAAGTCAATAAAGCTCTTGTTATGTAGATCGAGTGTGCCCGGCTTTGTATTCCGCAGTAGACAAGTTGAGCTTCTAGGCGTTAAAATAATAGTGTTTTCTGCGTAACGTCCTTCCTGTCTTAATTAAACGAAACCGTTCTTGAAAAATTTTGAAGCAACTGACAAAGGAAGAAGTATACGGTTGATACCATATTCTTTTCGGCTTCAGTATAAATTGACCTGAGATGTGGCGTCCTCCTTCGCTTTTTTGTTTAGAAAGCAAGAGAAAAAGGTTCCTTTTTTTATAATCAGTCCCATAAAACCCTTTCAATTTCACAATTTTAATTTAAACGGGATCATTTGCGGTCGACTTTGAGGATCATTTGCGGTCCAGGATCATCTGCAGTCCATTTTGGCGACCATTTGCGGTCTCTGGATCATTTGCGGTACTGTCATCACCAAGTTAATTTCATAGATGCTTGACAGAATGATTGATCTCCGAAATAGAGATTGCATTAGCTGCGGTTACAAACACCTCTTGCCAGAGGTTTCCCAAGGACTAACTCGTTTTTTGTTGGATAAGCGAACGCTCGGGTGAAAAAAACGTCACGCCCGAGAACTTTCTAGAAATCAATCGATTCTTCGCTTTGACGTCATACTGTAACACGATTGACCAATCGAACAATGCCTTGTCCATATGAGGGTTTTCTTTGGCGGGAAAACGAAGCGATCAGTTTTGTTTTTGTTTTTGTTTTTGTTTTTTTTTTTTCATCTTTTCATCCATTGGCTGATAAAACAAATAACGAACACTTATCGAAACCATTTTTCAAGGTCATACGAAAATCGCTCTATCAAGGGTTATTGTAACTGTAAACACGCGTACTTGTCTTGACCTGTCCAGGGGGGGGGGGTACNTTCTTTTTTTTTTTAAATCTTCCGCCGCCACCGAAATTCAACCTCCTTCCCCTCCCCGCCCTCTTTCGATCCAAAATCGCTTTAACAAGGGTTTTTGTAAATTGTAACCCGGGTTCTTGTCTTGGCCTGGCCCGGGGGGGGGGGTACTCGATATATCCCTTAGTAGGGAGGTGCCGACGAGGAGCCGCAAGCGGTAATTTTTTGCACGGCATGTGGCGGCACATCAAAGAATTTGGAATTGAAGGGCAAATTCCTAGAATATCTTCGCCAGTTAAGCTAGAGAAAAGGTGTTAAAAAAACTTCAGGATCCAAAACAACATGTCAATCAAAATAT